GCTGCCAGCAGCTCTCTTACACCGGTCTGCGGAGGTATGTGTGGGGATTTCCCTGCTCCAGGCTGCCCCGTGCCTGCCTCACTCCACGCCGCGCTGAGCGCGGGACGGGAGGCGGCGGGGATGGGACCGGGAGCAGCCGTTCCCTGCTCCCGCTATTCTCGCTCAGCACCTGCGGGGCCGTCCAGGGGCTCCCGGCGCGGCCCAACCCCCCGGGACGCGCCTCTGCTGTGTCCTTGGGGAGCGCGGGACCCCGGCTGCCCCCAGAGCCCCCCGGAGTGGGCGGGGAAGGCAGAGCGGAGGGGCTTTAGGAAACAAAATATATCCCGTCTCCGGGCAGTGGCTGGGTGTGCCTCGCCTATCGCGGCCGCAGCACGTTGTTGAACCTCTGTGTCTTTATAAACTTGTTGGCTCCATCGTTTGCTTTTACAGGTTTTAAGGCCTTTCAAGCTCCTCTCGGGGAGGACGGAGCTGAGCGGTTGCCCCGCGGTGTTCGCCGTGTTCTGGGGGGGTCCTGCTTTTTGAAAGTATGCTGTTAGAAACTATTAGAGCTGACAGCTCGCTGTACTCCAATGAAAACAAACAGCAGAGTAAAGCTGTAAGAAAGCGGCTTACTTCTGCCCCGGACCACTGAAGGGGCCGGTGCTGAGCAGCACCAGCCGCCAGCCCTCGGCACAGGACGGCATCTGCCTGCAATTAAGGGCGAGTTACTTGTACCAAAACTGCACTGCTGCTGCTGTAGGTCTGGGGCACTTCTGGATGTCACTCGCTTATCTCCAAGGCCATCCTGTATATCTCAGGACTGGGTACTGCTCCAATAGTCTCTAAATACCAAGACCAGACCCGGCTGGCCCGACGGGGCAGTGAACAACTGGCTAATTGCAAATCAAAGCCTCCACCCCCTGCAGGCCCGGGACAGGACCTCAGCGACCGCGGGGCCAAGTGGGACCCGCAGCTCATGAGGACCATCAGCTCCACACCATAGACAGGAGCCGGGACACATCCTCCAGACCACAAACTTCTCTGTTAAATGTTTGAAATGCTTTTCTCTTAACTAATGTGGGCACTGCTGAGCAGTGATCACACCAAACTGGCTAATTCTTCAAGCAGGAAAACTTTTTATGTCCAGAGAAGCATGCTTTAAATCTAATTTTTAATCACTTTTTGTGCTGTGCAAAGAGAAATTAGCTGAGGCAGGAAAGGGGAGCGCTGCTGGTACAACTGTGGGGGAAGAGGCTGCTGTCTCTGCCTGGCACCCCACCCAAGGGAAACTTTTTACCATCTTAGCAGAAGTCCCAGCCTAGGCAACAAAAAGGTGCCAATTGCAGTGAAGACAAATTTACTCCACAGCTCAGTTATAAAGGGAAAATACTGTGTTCTTCTGTCCTCTCAGTTTTACTGAGGCAGTGTCATCTGACAGGTGTTTGTCCTGCACAGGATCTGGAAATAGAGGGGACCTGCTCTTTGTCCCTTACATCAAATAACCCAAACTCTGCACTTGCAGGCTGTGTGTGGCTGCTTCCAGGGTCACAAACAAGCCAAGGGACTTTTATTAAATACTCACCAAGTAAAACACAGAAAGGACTATGTTCAGAGCTGACCCCTCAAGCTGCTTTTTCTGCCCCTTGCAGCAACTTATGCAGCACCAATTCCCCACAGACATTACAGAAACCTCTTCTCTGTCCTGAGTAAAGCTGGAAATACCAGAAGCACAGCGAGTCCCTCCACTCCTTGGTCCATCTTTAGGTTTCTTCCACCAGTTTAGAGAGGACTTCTGCTCCCTCTGAGGTAATCACAATGGTGTGTTCAAATTGCGCTGATCTGAAATGCACATTTTGCAGTTATTAGGGGGCAAATGCATCCACCACATCCGTAAAAATCACCTGTTTGCTTGTTTTGTTTTGGTTTGTTTTTTTGCCTGTCAGTGATCAGTTCCACGGCTTAGCAAAGATCAAAAAAATAAAATCAGACACCTTTTATTGTCTACAGAAACTGCAGTCCATTTATCCTTCAGAATGTGGAATTCAGGGGATCCTTCCATTATTATAGGCTCTGCAACAAGAAGAACAAAATGTTTTCTAAAGTTAGTTGCACTTGAGACTGCGAAGCAAGCAAGCAAGAGGAGTGTCCCAGCAGTTAGTTCCCCTTCTGCACAGGTCCAGTCCTCTCTGGGCTGACACTCCCTTGCAACACTAAAACGTGAACTAAAGAGGAAGACGAAATACCAAGGTAGGAAGTTGCCCACTCCTCTTTTGTAAAAGTGGGGAATTTTAATCAAGCTTTAATTAAGATCCTGTGGATAATAACCAAAGCACTAACCACACTTAAAAACAGCAGATAGTTTTAAATACTTGAATTTTAAAAACAGGCTTAAAATGTTCATTAAATCAGCAAAACAACAATTTTCTTCTTTCCCTCTAATTGCTGTGCCATTTAGCCACACAGTGAGAAAGAGGGCTTTTCCCCCAACAGCTCTCCATGACTGGTATTTAGCACGTTCAGGCTGGGGGGCGAGGCTCTGACTGGCTCCCGGCGCTGCAGCCCCCAGACCCACAGAGCAGCTCTGGCAGGCAGCGAATGACGTAAGAGCCACCGGGCAGCTCGCTAGTCAAACCGCGGCTTCGGGGGCCCAATCGCATCCTTCTCATCCACAGCCCAAGTGTGCCAGTTTGCCAAAAATGTGCGTGAAAATATGTCATTTAATAAGGTTTATAAGAAACATTTCATTTTCTAAATCTTGTAATTTGGAAGCTACTTCACTCGATTGGCTCCTTAATGAGCTTTTTAAAAATGTTGTTTTAATCTGGTTCTTAAGGGGTCAGTGTCTCAGACATCCCCGTATCTACAACGGGTATTTCTCTATCCCAATAAAGAAATGGTACGGATCTGGGCTTTTCTGTGTGTGCTTTTTAACAGAAAACAACAGCAGAGAGTTACTAACCTATTGTGAATGCCATTCCTTCTTCCATTAACAAATCACTGTCATTGGCTACAAAAGAAAATAAGAACGTGTTTACGGCTGTTGGGGATTTTTTTTTTTTTTAAAGTAAATGCAACCAACATTTGCCTTTAAACCCCGTTTTGGCTCGCAGGTACCGTGCGTGCCGGCCCCCCGTGGACCGGAGCACCCGCCGAAAGCGATCCCACCCCGGCCGCGACGGGACCGCCCCGACGGCGGATCGGTTTCTGGGCGGGCC